GGGACACGCGGGGGTGGTGTTCATCCACACAAGGTGAGGCTGGTCCTCATGGGGTCCCTGTGGGGTGACAGTGGTGACACTGGTCCCTGTGGGGTCAGGCCGGTCCCTGTGGGGTGACAGTGGTGACACTGGTCCCTGTGGGGTCAGGCTGGTCCCTGTGGGGTGACCTAGTCTTTGTGGGGTGATGCTGGTCCCTGTGGGGTGATGCTGGTCCCTGTGGGGTCAGGCTTGTCCCTGTGGGGTGACAGTGGTGACACTGGTCCCTGTGGGCTGATGTTGGTCCCTGCGGGTTCCGGCTGGTCCCTGTGGGGTGGCAGTGGTCCCTGTGGGTTGATGCCGGTCCCTGTGGGGTGACACTGGTCCCTGCGGGGTCAGGCCGGTCCCTGTGGGGTGATGCTGGTCCCTGTAGGGTGACAGCGGTCCCTGCGGGATCCGGCCGGTCCCTGTAGGATGACAGTGGTCCCTGTGGGATGATGCCGGTCCCTGTGGGGTGACAGTGGTCCCTGCGGGGTCCGGCCGGTCCCCACGCTCGGGGGCCGCTCTCCCCCGCTGCCTTTGATCAGAGCACGGCTCCGCTTTCCCTGCCGGCTGCTCTCGGTGCCGTGGGTTTCCAGCGGGAGGTGGGGAAGCGCAGTCAGCCTGACCCTCCCCTCCTCGGATCTGTCATCAGCAACACAGAAATCCTTSCCGGCCCCAAGTTACCCAGCCTGAATCCTGCAGGATTTGCCGGGGCGGCAGGATGGCAGAGCAGCCCTGCCTGGGTCCCCCCGCCAGCCCCGCGCCCCCAAACCCCCACGCCCACCCCAGGGACAAGTGGAGCAAAAAGATGGATTTCCTCCTCTCCGTCGTCGGATTCGCCGTCGATCTTGGCAACGTCTGGCGGTTCCCTTACATCTGCTACCAGAACGGAGGGGGTAAGGACACCACTGGGCTTATTTAAATCTTCTTTTGGAGAAAATATGCTTTTTTCCCCCTCATTTTCCATTTTTTCCACACTGAAAAATTCCCTGATTCTTTCCCTTCTTTGTTCCCTCCACTTCAGACAGGGCGGTTCAGAGACCGACCCAACTTCTCCCGACATCTGTTTTTTTTTCTGTTTGTGCCTTTCTCCGTTCAAAATCCTCCTCCACTCCCTCCATCCTCCTTCCCCGGGGTGCTTCCCTCCTTCTCTGGTCATTCCCTCCTTTCCCTGTGGGGTTAGGGGTGCGTTAGCAGCTGTAGGATCACAAAGGGGAGATTAGCACGGTCCAAACTGCAATAAAGGATTAAGAWCCGTAAATTTGGGGGAGGTTTGCCTACTTTTTGATCTTGGGGCTCTGGGAAGCTGCCCTTTGGGATGGCTCGTGGTTTAAAATCATCCTCCTGAGCATCCCTGGAAGTGCTGGACACCACGAGCAGCCCCGGCTTTGAGGGATCAAAAGGTACAGGAACACCACGAAGGGGGAAAAAAAAAAAAAAAACCCTTCAGTAAATGACAACGAAATAAATTGCTTTAAATGGAGCAGGGTAAAAAAACACCCTCACACGGAAATTAAAAAGTGGGGGGATGAGAATTTTGCGCTGTTTGGGATTTAATTGCCGGAGTCGGCTTTCGGGGAACATCCTCTGCTGCTTGGGAAAATTAGAAAGAGGTAATTAGTTCCATACTCAAGGCAAAACTGTGGATCCCAGGTGCCTGAATTGAAACAGAGTTACTGGTGAGCCGCTCCTGGGGGATCGGGAGCTGAGCTGAGCGAGGTTGGGGTGGGTGGTTCCCACCTGCCCCATGCACACGGGAGGGTGAGGAGTTTAGGGGGGCACGGAGTGGGGACCCCGGGATGGGCAGCGCTGGATTCACCCACAGCTCRGGCTCTGCCTGGAAAGAAAACACTGGAAACGCTCGGTCCTGGTGGGTCAGTCCTGCCAGGAACACGGGGGGGCTGCAGGAGGGTGCTGGGGATGTTTGGGATACTGGAGATGACAGGGATATTGGGAATGATGGGAGTGTTGGGGATACTGGAGATGCTGGGAATTTTGGGGGTGCTGGAGATGCTGGGGATACTGGGAATGTTGGGGTGATAGGGATACCAGAGATGCTGGGGGTGATGGGAATTTTGGGGATGCTGGAGATGCTGGGAATTTTGGGGGTGCTGGAGATGCTGGGAATGTTAGAGGTGCTGGGAATTTTGGGGATGCTGGGAATGTTGGGGATGCTGCACCACGCTCATACACACTTTGGGAGGGAGAAGCCGTGGGGGTTAAATTAACTAATCCCAGCAGAACTCGGAGAGCAGCTCCACTTCCAAAAGCTCCATGGGGTACAAGCGTAGCCCCGGTAAAAAAAAACGAGAGCGTTATGAATAATGCAGATTGCAGAGTTAATGATGTGTCTGGGGTGGCTGCGTGCGTTCTGTCGGATTTTCTCCAAAACTCTTCCAGATCTGAGGGGTGCTGGGTGTCCCCTCCCCTGCGTCCCAATGGTTTGTGAGGCTTTTTGTTCCATCCTGGCTGAACAGCCCCAYCCCAGTGAAGATTTGGGACTGTCCAAACCTGGAAAGCCGTAACTCCGAGCAGGGTCTCACATCTCTGAGCAGATCATTTCCAAATCTCACAAACACTTCCAAACCCACCARGAGGGAGGGAGGTGACAACRCCACGGTCCCCCAGTGCTCACCCCRCTGTGCCCCCACCCTGCAGGCGCCTTCCTCATCCCCTACACGCTGATGGCTGTTTTCGGGGGGGTGCCCCTCTTCTACATGGAGCTGGCCCTGGGGCAGTTCCACAGGACAGGAGCCATCCCCATCTGGAAACGCATCTGCCCCATCTTCAAAGGTGAGGGACGGCCCTGCCGTGGTGACAGCGACACCCCCAGCCTGTCCCGTGTCCCCAAGGCYRTGTCCCCAAGGCYGTGACCCCAAAGCCRTGTCCCCGAGCCYRATCCCRCTGTTCCCAGGCATCGGCTTTGCCATCTGCATCATCGGCCTCTACGTCTCCTTCTACTACAACACCATCATTGCCTGGGCTCTCTACTACTTCTACTCGTCCTTCTCGGGCACCCTGCCCTGGGCCAGCTGTGACAACCCCTGGAACACCCCTGACTGCACCAACTATTTCGGGAAGAGCAACGTGACCTGGACCAACTTCTCCAGGTCGCCCGCCGAGGAGTTTTACACGTGAGTTTGAGCTGGGCACGTCCCTGAGGGGCACTGGGAGCAGGATCTCATGTGGGAACGCTCCTGAGGAGCTCCTGCCTGGGGCTGAGCCTGCTCCCAGCCATGGGGATCCCTGTCTGCAGGAGGAAAGTCCTGGAAATACAGAAATCCGGGGGTTTGTCCGACATCGGGGGCATCCGCTGGCAGCTGCTCCTCTGCCTCTTCCTCATCTTCACCATCGTCTACTTCAGCCTGTGGAAAGGGGTGAAAACCTCTGGGAAGGTGAGCAGAGCTCCAGCACTGGAGGGATCCATTCCCCTGGGAATGTCACCTCACCCCCAGCCCCTGTCCCTGAGGCCACCCCGAGCGAGCCCARCACGGGGGTTTTGGTGCTGGGTGATGCCGTGGGGTGACAGCTGCCTCCCCCCAGGTGGTGTGGGTGACAGCCACGCTGCCCTACATCGTCCTGCTCATCCTGCTCATCCGTGGTGCCACCCTGCCCGGAGCCTGGAGAGGAGTGCTCTTCTACCTGCGCCCGGACTGGGGCAAACTCCTGAGCACGGCGGTGAGACCCCWGCCCGGGGCACGGCAACACCCGGAGCCCTTCCCCGGGACACCCACCCAGCCCTGCCCGCGGGTCTGGCCCCATCGTGGGCTCTCGTTCCCACAGAAACCAGGCGCCCCGGACGGGCTCTTGGAAATGTAAATCCGTAATTGAATCACCCATCTCATTTCGGGCCGGTTTTGTCGGCGCCGCGCTCCCCCCAAGGGCTGACAATGGGCTTCCTGTGGGTAATTAAGCAGGGAGCACTTGAGAATTCTCATTAAAGGTAATGAGGGCCGTGCTGCCAGCGCTGGAGCTGCCGGGTACAGCGGGCACCGGGGTCCCCCCGATCCATCCCCGCTCCGAGTCYGGGTGACACCGCTCAGCTCGGCTGCTGCGGGACCCCGGGGTGGAAATGAGCTCACCACACCCCGGGGCAGCTCCCCGGCACCCGGGACATCTCCTGGGGACACGGGGCAGGCAGGAGAGGAGCTCTGGACATTCGCCATGAGGTGTCCATGCCATGGGTGGGCACTGTGGGGAACCTCCCAGCCCCACACACCCCCTGCCCTGCCCATCCTCCTGTCACATCTCCCTCCAGGTCTGGGTGGATGCTGCTGCGCAGATTTTCTTCTCCTTGGGCCCTGGATTTGGAGTCCTCCTCGCTCTGGCCAGTTACAACCATTTCCACAACAACTGCTACCGGTGAGGGTCCCCGTGGGCACAGCTACAGGGGAGACAGATCCCAAAAGATCCTGTACCCCACAGACACATTCCAACAGCTCCTGTGCTCCATATCCCAACAACTCCTGGTCCTAAAGGCACATCCCAAAAGATCCTGATCCCCACATCCCAACAGCTCCTGTGCCCCACATTCCAACAGCTCCTGAGACCCACATCCCAAAAGCTCCTGGTGCTAAAGCCACATCCCCACAGCTCCTGTGCCCCACAGCCACATCCCAACAGTTCCTGGTCCTAAAACACATCCCATCAGCTCCTGGTCCTAAAGGCACATCCCAACAACTCCTGGTCCCAAAGGCACATCCCAGAAGCTCCTGGTCTCCACAGCCACATCCCAAAAGGTCCTGTGCCCCACAGCCACATCCCCATAGCTCCTGTGCCCACATCCCAACAGTTCCTGGTCCTAAAGGCACATCCTCACAGCTCCTGTGCTCCACATCCCAACAGCTCCTGTGCCCCACATCCCAAAAGCTCCTGTGCCCCACATCCCAAAAGCTCCTGTGCCCCACAGCCACATCCCAATGGCTCCCGGTCCCCGTGGCTGCAGACTCTGCATCTTTCCCCATTTCACTGCTGGTCCTGGTGTGAGACCCAGCAGAGGGAGCGGCAGTGGGGGCAGCTGGAGCAGCGTGAGGGCTGACCGGGAGTGGGGGTCTCTCCCTCTTTTCCCCCTTGCAGGGACGCACTYGTCACCAGCGCTGTGAATTGCCTCACCAGCTTCTTGTCAGGCTTCGTCATCTTCACCGTGCTGGGCTACATGGCCGAGATGAGGGACGTGGAGGTGGAGGATGTGGCCAGAGATAAAGGTTCTCCTCCTTCTGGCCAAGTGCCACCCCCAGGGCTGTGCCAGGGGACAGCCAAATGAGCCAGTGTCCCCTCCTAGGGCCCAGCCTCCTCTTCATCACCTACCCCGAAGCCATCGCCAACATGGTGGGATCCACCTTCTTCGCCATCATTTTCTTCCTGATGATGATCACCCTGGGGCTGGACAGCACGGTAGGAGAGGGACAGCACAGCCGTGTCCCCAGTGGGGACGGGGGTGGCCTTGTCCCATGT